TACACCTCAAACATTGCTCAGTCGAAGCACCGACAAAGATATACAATACATTATAAGCAGGCATCCTTCAGGTAGCAGCAGAAATATCCTCTGCTGCTGCTGCCGTTGCTGCTGCTGCTGCTGTTGCTGCTGCTTCTACGGAAGACGCAACCGTCAGCCCTCCTGCTGCAGCTGCTGCTACAGCTGCCGCTGCTCTGCAGCGACCTTAAATATATGAAGGGAGCCTTTGTTGCAGTGTGTGCGCAGTTGCTGTGCAATTGCTGCTGCTTCTGCTGTTGCTGTTGCTGCAGCAGCACTATTAGCTGTTGCTGTTGCTGCAGCAGCAGCACTAGTTTACCAACTCCATCCGGGCTGGAACCACGAACGGAACTCAGGGGCTGGGGTGTATCGGGAGCTCGTATACACCTCAAGTAGCTTCTCCCCATTAAAGGTAAATGTCTCTTTAAGACAGTCTCCATTAACAGGTGTGCATTCGACAAGAGGCTTTATATCCCTTCTGCTGCTGCTGCTGCAGCTCCCGAGGGAGAATGATAAGAACGACACAGGCCCCGACCCCTCGCTGCTGCTGCTGATGGGGGTTCCGTCTGTAGATCCCCCTGCGGCTGGATCTTGTGCAGCAGCAATTGCTGCTGCTGCTGCTGCTGCTGCTTTTTCCTGCTGCATCATAGCAGCACAGAACGGGTTAGCAGAGTTATAGAATCTGTTGAGATAGAATAAAGGGTTCTTTGGAGAAGGTATTGCAAGAAGCCCCAAGGGTCTCTCTACAAAAGGAAGCAGCTCCTGCAGCGGCATTTGCTGCTGAGAAGAGACTCCTGTTATCTCTGCGTGGGGTTCCCAGTCTTGGGGATCGTCTGGGGATCGATCCCGCACCTCTTTATACCAATATACTCGTACAAATAATGCAGGAAGGCTTAAAGAATCTGCTGCTGTTGAGGTGTCTATGCTAATCAACCCAAAGGAAGAATTCACTGCCTGCTCCACCAGCTGTACGCACAAAACAAATGCAGCAAAACATCAAACAATTATTAACAATAAACAAAAAGAATACATCATAAAAAATAAACAGTAAAGAAAAGAATAAAGAATAAAAGAATAAAGAATAAAGGGGGAAAAGCAATTAATAATAAATAATAAACAAAAAACAATAAGAAGACATCATAAAGAATAAAGAATAAAAGAATAAAGAATAAAAGAATAAAGAATAAAAGAATAAGGAATAAAAGAATAAAGAATAGATCATAAAAAATAAACAAGGAATAAAGAATAAAGAATAAGAAGAGTAGAGAGTAAAGAATAAAGAATAAAGAACAAAAGAGTAAACAACAAAGAATAAAAGAATAAGAGAATAAAGAATAAAGAATAAACAACAAAGAATAAAGACTAAAGACTAAAAGAACAAAGGGTAATAAATAGAAGGAGCAAGAAATAATAAAGAAGAATAAAATATCTTGAAGAGAATATAAAAAATATTATATTATTATTTTGCTTACCTTCGGCTTTGCTTTTGTTGCTGTAAGCCAAGAGAGAAGAGACTGAGAATGATAGAGTTTGGGCCTTAGTAATTCATTGTTAGGGTCAAACAGAGCACAGCTTTCTTTAAGTTTTTGTTTATCGTTTTTATCTACAATTAAAGAAATATAACTGTCTCCAGGAAGTATATCATGTCTTGATAATGAGCCTACAAGAGTTGAGCCCCCTAGAGCAAAGGAAACATTCTTTAGCTGCATACCCCGTATAAGTATTTCTAAGAAAGCAAATAAACCATCATGTTGAGCAGAGCTTAGCATAAGAAATCCTCGGCTAGCAGCAGCAGCAGCAGCAGCAGGAGTAGCAGCAGCAGCAGCAGCAGTAACAGCTGCAGCAGGAGAAGAAGCAGAAGAAGCAGCTGCCCTACGCTCTTCTCGCTTAGCATCGCCAACCCACACTTCCTGCAGCAGCTCTCTACGCCCAGCCCCACTAAGAGACATTAATTCGTCATGTGCATACAGCCTAGGTGATGCTACAACAGCAGCACACCGATGAATATCAGCAGCAGAAGGAATAGAAGGCCCTAATGAGCGTAGCTGCTGCAGCTGTTCCAGCATTGGTAGTGTTAGCTGCTCCCAAAGCAGCAGCATTAACCCTAGAACAGCCATAAAGAGCAGCAAAAACAGTCGCTGCAGCTGCTGCTTATTATAAAGACGTCTAAGACGTAAGAAACGAAGAGCATGGTAGCCCCTCATACCCTCTGCTGCAGCCTTTGCAGGAAGCAGCATTGTATACTTCTCCTTAGAACGTGGTGCAGCATTAACAGGCTTGTTGTGTGTATTGTAAGCCATTAGAGGTACTTCACCAACAGTCAAAGGCCGGGCGAAGCCGGGGGGCACCCGAGACGCAGAAGCAGCAGAAGGCTGCATCTTCGTAATCTTGCTGCTGCTAATGCTGCTGCTGCTGCTGATGCTGTTGCTGCTGCTGCTGCTGCGGCGGCGGCGGCGGCTGCTCCGCCCGGTGTCAGGCACCCGCTATGAATGAACTGTGGAGGATCGGTGAGAGGCAAAGAAGGTCGCTTCAAGCAGCAGCTGCTGCTGCTGCTGCTGTTGTTGCTGCTGTTGCTACTGTTGCTGCTGCCTAAGGGAAAAGAAAGGAAGGAAGAGAAGAAGCAGCAAAGACAGATGCTGCGTGTTGCAGCAGCGGCCACAGCAGACAGATGGAATTCAGTGCTGCTGCTGTTGTTGCTGCTGCTGATGCTGCTGCAGTTGCTGCGCTTCTGGGTTCTGCTTCTTTTGCAAAGCCACCCATTCAGCTATCATGCTGCTGCTGTGTCAACTGCTGCTATTGTCGCTGCTCTTACTGCTGCTGCTGCTGCTGCTGCTGCTGCTGCTGATGTTGCTGTTGCTGGGGATATATTCAGGGGCGAGGCTCCTGAGAAGGAGAAGGAAGAAAATGAGTTAGAAGCAGCAGATCGAGTCAAGGAAATAAAGGTGCCCGGTAATGCTGCTGCTGCTGCTGTTGCTGTTGCTGTTGCTGTTGCAGTTGCTGCTGCGGCTGTTGCTGCTGCACTTGCTGCACGCGGCGTTGCAGCCCTTGTTAGGCGCCTCTGCTGTATGAGTGTGCATCAAGAAGTGAAATAAATAACAAAAGGAAAGGGAGGAGAAGGGAAGAAGAAAAACAGCAAAAAGGAGAATCGCTCGATGCGCCGAGTGTGAGCGGCAGCAGCAGCAGCAGCAGCAGCAGCAGCAAAAGCAGAATGAGGTGGAGTGATTTGTTTGAGGAGGATTGACAGACGAGAAAGGAAATAAACAGGAACAAATACGGAAAAGAAGGAAATTATAACACCATCGTATAGCTGCTGCTGCTGCTGCTACTGCTGCTGCTGCTGCTGCTGCTGCTGTTTGTCGCGGGCCGCAACTAGCCACGGGGTATCTCTTCTCTTTAAGGAGCCGTTCTTCTTTTTAATTATAAATTAAAATAAAGGAATTTAAATTAAAGAAAGGGAGGAAGAAGGCCTTCCCTGTCGCTTAATGAGCTGCCTATACACCCGAAGGCTCCCACCTCTATTGCCCCTATCGACAGCGCGCCGCTCCCTGCTGCTGCTGCTGCTGCTGCAGCTGCTGCTGCTGTTGCTGGTTCTTGTTATTTCCCTGTCTTGCTGCATTGAATGTGTAATGTATATTGATTTAAAACTAAAAAGCAGCCCTTCCCTGCAACTTATTCGGAGAAACCTCAGGTGTACAGACACCTAAACACACCTCGATAAGGCCCCCCAGTAGCAGCAGCTGCTGCTGCCGTATCGGCTGCGGTCAAAGCAGCAGCAGCAGCAGCAACAGCAGCAGTAGCAGAAGCCTTTCTTTTATGTTGTTTTATTTTTCTCTGTTGAGTGTAGTATGCAAACAAGACGAGACTAAGGCCGGCTTCAGCTTAGCAGTTTTCATAGACAAACAAAACAAGTGGTGCATGCATAAAGAAATAATATTTTAATATTTTATATTTATTGATAATTAAGAGACATAAAGGAGGTGCAATAGACCTAAAAGAAATACACCATCCACAGGTGCTGCTGCTGCGGCTACACCCGCAGCAGCAGCAAGCAGAAGCAAAAACCAAATGAGAAACAAACAAATATAAACAAATAATTAAGATGCCTCTTGTATTAATAGCACATGCATATGCCTCTACACATTCCTCTTCTCCGCTTTGAAGTGCTGCTTGTGCATCTTCCGCTGCTGCTGCTGCTGCTGCAGAGCTGCAGTATCCGCTGCTGAGCATCAGCAGCAGCAGCAGCACCAGCAGCAGCAGCAGCAAATGCCTCCCAGAGAGGAGGAGGGAGTTGAAAAAAGTATGCGCTGCTGCAGCAACAACCCTAACTTAGGATGACGAACAAAAGAGTGTTTCAACGCCTAAACGGCAAAACAAACGCAAAGCAGCTTCTGCTGCTGCTGTTGCTGCTGCAGCAGCAGCTGCTGCAGCAAAAGGCAAAGCCGCAACGCCTAGCACGCCCCTCTGCTGCTACTGCTGCTGCGGGGTTTTGCTAATGCAACAACCTGCTTGTTGTGTCTGTACTCTTGCTGAGGCGACAGGCAAGTGCTGCTGCAGACTCTGCAGCAGGAAGCCTTTAGCGCGCACCAGCAGCATAAGCAGCAGCAGCAGCAGCAGCAATGGTTGCTGCAGACTACCACTTTGCAGCAATATCAGAGGCCCGCACGAAGGCATAAATTTGCTCTCCTATCTTCAGCTGCGACGACTCCTCCAGATAACTCGAATAAACTACTTTGTCTCCAACAGAAACCTGCAGCAGCAGCAGCAGCAGCAGCAGCAGCGCATATGCCGGGTGTGTTGCTACAGCAGGTCCTACTCAGGGGATATTGCTGCAGCGAACAAGACAAATCAAGCAGCAACAGCAGCAGCAACAACAGTAGCAAATGCAGCAGCAGCAGCAGCTCACCTCAACAGGCATCCTTGTCTGCTGCGGAGTCATCTTGCCGCTACCGACTGCCACAACCTCAGCTTGCTGCAGCAGCCGCTGCTGCTGCTGCGGCACCAGCAGCAACCCCCCAGCGCTCTTATCCGACGGCTTCAAGACGCGTACAAACACTCTGCAGCACCAGCAACAGCAGCAACAGCAGCAGCAGCAGCAGCATCAGCCTCAGCACAACGCGCATGCATAGAACCAAAAGGCACCTCTCGGCATCCCGCAGCAGTAGTAGTTGCTGCTGCTGCTGCTGCTGCTGCTGCCGGCAGTCCCTAGCAAGGAAGGAGCTTTGCTGCAGTATCCAACAGCAACAGACGCAGCAGCAGTAGCATCTCCTCCAGCAGCAGAGTCAGCAGCAGCAATAACAGCAGCAGGCCTGCAGCAACAGCAGCAGCAGCGCTGCAGCAGCAGCAGACTGACGTGTCTCCAAGTGGCTGTACATCTGAAGGCTGCAGCGCCTCAGGGTCCGCCACCTTCGCCAGCAGCTCTTCGCTGGAAAGCAGCACGCAGTCAGCCCCGTCATACTTCAGCTGAGCAGCAGCAGCAGCAGCAGCAGCAGCACATCACAGGTGCAGCAGAGAGTTTAAAACACTCACACTGGTTTGCCCTTCCAGCAACACTGCAGCAGCAGCAGCAGCAGCAGCAACCGCAGGTATTACAATGCCGAACAACATTAGTGAGGGATAGACACGGCAGCAGCAGCAGCAGCAGCAACAGCAGCAAGTGCAGCAGCAGCAGCCAGACTAACCGTCTCTCCCGTGTGTTTTGTATACACCACGACGTCTCCTTCCTTGACTTCACAGGTGATCCGCTTGCTGCAGCAGCAACAACAGCAGCAGCAGCAAATGTGAATCCCTTCTGTCTCTGTCTAGCCTCTTGTCCGCGCTGCTGCAGCCGCAGCGGGGGCAGGCTAGCAGCAGCGGCCGCAGCAAAGGAGCAGCAGCAGCAAAAGGAGCATAGCTGGCAAGAACCAAAGAAGCTCCGAAAGAGAAAATGCACAGCAGCAGCAACAGCACCAGTGCAATGCGGCTGCTGCTGCTCTATGTATTGTTGCCCCGTCCCCGCAGAAGAGAGACAGCATCTGCTGCTGCTGCAGCACTGCAGCAGCAGCAGAGTCAAGGCTTTCTCTGTACCGCCAAATACCATACCAGCGATGCCCACCTCACTGACACCACGCTCAGCCACGGCGGACAGCAGCAGCAGCAGCAACAGCAACAGCAGCAGCAGCAGTTACAGCAGCAGCAGCAGCAGCAAACCCTGTTTCCGAATCCAGCTGTCCAGGGCCCGTGGCGATGACGCGGCCAAGGGCCTTCTCCTGACGAGCCTGAAGAAACAGCAGCAGCAGCAGCAGAAACAAACCTAGCTGCAGCAGCAGCAACAGCAAACCTGGCTGCAGCAGCAGCAAACCCGGTAGCAACAGCAGCAGCTGCTGCTGCAGCTGTAGCCACGAAGCGTAGCCTCATCATATGCAGCTCGGGCGAAGCAGCAGCGCAAATCGACAGCAGCAGAAACACACACGGAGCAAGAGCAGCAGCAGCAGCAGCAGCAGCAGCAGCAGCACCCAACAGGAGAAAGCCAGCAGCAAGGAGGCTTCGGCTGCAGCAGCGGCAGAGCCGCAGCCGCAGCAGCAGCCCCAGGCAAAAGAAGTGCTGCAACTGGGGGTAAAACAGCAACAGCAAAAGTAACAGCAGCAACGGCAGCAGCAGCAGCAAGACTTACGTCTGTGGGCAGCAGCAGCCCTCCTTTTGTCTTCTGCTCCACCCCAACCTTCTGCAGCAGCACCATCCCCCTCAGGGGCTGCAGCGGGCCCGAGAGAGGCTCTCCATCAAGCGAGTGATTGCTGCTGCTGCTGCTGGCTAGTGCTGCTGTGTTCGCTGCGAAACAGCACAAACACAACGCCGCATACCACCTCACCCCATCAGCCTCTGCTGCTGCTGCTGCTGCTGCTACTGCCACTGTTGTTGTTGCTGCTGCTGTTGTTGTTGCTGCTGCTGCTGATTTTACTCACCTGCGGCTGTTGTCGCTGAAGCGGCGCGAGGCCGATGGGCATCCGAGGCAGCGACAGGTGTGGGGCCAGCCTGCAGCAGCAGCAGCAGCAGCAGCAACAGCAACAAAGAAACGCAAACGCATCCGCAGCAACGCGACGCCTAGGGTCCTGCAGCGAGCGCCCAGAATAGCTGCAGCGGCAACAAGAGCAGCAGCAAAGACAGCGACAGCAACAGCAGCAGCAACAACAGCAGCAACAGCAGCAGCAACAACAGCAGCAACAACAGCAGCAGAAGGCCTCACTCTCAGCAGCTGGGTAGTCTGGGTGATAGCAAATGATTCTGCTTGATGTGCTGCTGCTGCTAGCAGCAGCAGCAGCAGCTTCCACCAAGAAGAGAGCATCGTTTGGGCCTCAAGCCTAAACCCTAAACCCTAAACCCTAAACCCTAGGAAAAGCCCCGGCTTGTAGTTAGTATGGGGTTTAGAGTAACAGCGAAGAACTTAAAGGAAAAAACCCCAAGTCCAGGCAGCAAGCCCCAACTCGAGGCCTCAAGACACCCCACGTTCCCGTCGGCAGCAGCAGCAGCAGCAGCAGCAGCGGCAGCAGCAGCGAAGGGCAGCAGCAGCACCAATCGTAGCAGCAAATGACTCGCTGGCCATAGAAGATAAAAGAAAATGATTACTAGAAGGTTTTATGGAGAGGTAATAATTCTACAAGCTAGCCCCACAGAGGGTCCCAAGCCTTGCTGCTGCTACTGTTGCTGCTGCTGCTGCTGCTGGTTGGGGGCCCCACCCGCAACCTGTATTGCAGCAGAGGGCCCCCGCTGCTGCTGCTGCCGCTGGTGCATCTTCTCTGCATTGTTTCTTCAATTCCACAAAGTACTCAGCGCCTTCATTACCGTGGAAGCACCTAAAGGGAGCAGCAGCAGCAGCAGCAGCAGCAGCAGCAAACTCAGCCACCAATAACTCAACCAGGGCTGACTGCCGACAGAGTGCCGGGGTGTCTTCTCCTTCTTCCTCTCTTTCGTTGTTATTCTATATTTGTTTTATTCATTATACTCTCAAATACAATACTGTTTTAAGCAGGGCTGCACTAACCGTAGCAGCTGCAGCAGCAGCAGCTGCAGCTGCTGCTGCAGCTGCCGCTGCCGGCTTCCGCAGGAGCTGGACGATGGTGACCCTGCTGCTGCCGCTGCTGTCGCTGCTACTGCTTGAGGCAGCCAGTCCTCATGTGAGGCCTGCAGCAGCAGCAGCATCAGGTGCTGCAGCACTGTTTACGGTGAACGAGGCAGCAGCAACAAGAGCAGCAGCAGGAACAGCAGCAGGAGCAGCAGCGGCAGCAGGGCCCAGTTCAGCAGACATACAAACTACAGCTGCAGCAGATGCACAACCAACTCGCACTGCAGCAAATGCCGCTACAGCAACAGCAAATGAGAACGCGTCCGACCCGGTGAGGGCAGCAGCACCTGCAGCAGCTGCTGCTGCAGCTGCTGCAGCAGCACCGTCTGCAACAAACCGCGAGTCAGCATCCGGTGATGCTGCTGCTGGTGCTGCTGAACTGCTAGGCTCACCCATCCCCACGACCAAATACAGCCCAGCCGCGGCAGCAGCAACTGCCGCTGCTGCGGCTGCTGCTGCAGGAAACGCTGTGGGGGCAACAGGTGCCGCAGCCAGTGGTAGTTGGGACCCGTATATTGAGCAGCAGCAGCAGCCTCAGCCGCTGCTGCTGCCTATTTTGAGGCGCTTAGAGGAGACGCAGGAGCCAGACAACAGCAGCACCACCAATAGCAATGCGAGCAGCAGCAGCAGCAGCAGCAGCAACAGCGGCGGCGGAAGTGGTAGCAACAAAGCCAGCAGCGTGAACAGCACCGTAAGCAGCAGCAGCAGCACTAGCACCGTTGCTAACAGGAGCAGTGCAGAAGAGAAGGGAAGCAGCACCAGCGAAGGGACCAGCAGTGCAGGCAGCAGCAACAGCAACAGCAACAGTGGCAGCAGCAGCAGCAGCAGCAGCGGCACGTGGGTGGGTGAGGCTGCGGACGACCTTAGCAGCAGCGAAAAGGAGGTGGTGATGTCAGTGGGGTTGCTGCTGCTGCTGGTAATCGTTGCTGCTTGCCTCTTTATTTCTCTTGCTGCTCGACGGCTGCAGCAGCTGGTGCTGCAGGTGCCTCTGGTGGCGACTTTGCTTGGCCTGCTGCTGGGTGCGCTGCTGCAGCAGCACCATCAGCTGCAGCAGCAACGAAGCAGCAGCAGCAGCCTCCGCAGCATTTTGGCCTTGAAAGAAGAAGTTTTCTTCGTGCTTCTGCTTCCGCCAATTGTCTTTCAGGGGTAAACCCCTATTCTTAAACCCTAAACCCTAAACCCTATCCAAAGAGCTGTATTTGGTTTTTTAGACCCGTACAAGCAGCGGGATTCCCGGTTTAGGGTTTAGGGTTTAGGGTTTAGGGTTTGCCCCACATCAATCCTATATACCGCCTCCTCTGTCTCTTTTCTGCACAATACAGCCCTTCACTTGGGCTGTATGTTCTATTTATGAATTAGGGTTTGTGGTTTGTGAGTAAATTAGGGTTTGTGGTAAATATAAACAAATTAGAGTTTGTAATATATATATATATATATATGAATGAATCAGGGTTTGTGGTATGTGAATGAATTAGGGCTTGTGGTTTGTGCAAGAATCACGGTTTGTAATATATATATATATATATATATACATATATATATATATAT